GACAACGTCGCGACCGGTATAAGCGCCAGTTATCCCATTAAATGTTCAATTATTTCTGCCTTCCATTCCTGACGTCCGGAATTCCGGCCTGCCGTGTGCATCGGTTCACGAGGGGAAGACGAGGGGTTGGACGATGTGGGAGGCTGGAAGCGAGAGCTTAATCCCTATTCATAGACTCGATCGAGTGATTTCGAATAAATCCTTCCAGCGTTCCGCGAAATCCGCTGCAATTAAAATACTTTAATATCCTTTGGAGCACGTAGCCGCTCCGGGCGATGCCTCCTTCCAACCACATCCTTTCCACCCCCTGAGCTCGTCTTGCTTCGCTTTTAGCCTCGCGTTTCAACTCACCCTTCTCCAGATCTCGTCCTTCGCCATCCCTCGTTCTCGTTCCCGTGGATCCCAATTTCTTTTTGGAACGGGTGCTCTCTTATTAAACGAATCCCAATCCAGATGCCCGGAGGTATCGGGAAAGCACGTTCGCTTTCCTTCAAAGAGCTCTTTATCACTGTTGAAACTCCGGCAGATATTTTGACCATTCGTCTTCCAGCGATATATCATAGCACGGAGCTGGATAACTGCAGTTTTTCCTCGTGGCATACCGTGTAATATTACGACGCTTGGCCAGCGGTTCAACTAGCTCTTTGATAGTTCTCGAGACCGACTTCCGTATTCGTCCTAGCCGTTTCGTGTTTTTGTTTCTCCATCTTTCTGCTTGTTCCTTCCACTTTTCTTTTTTTTTCCGAGGTTATAAATCTGAGTCGGTAGTCGGATGTCTGATAAGCTAGAAATAATTGAAGGGTGCGCGATATATGGTTGGAAAGGAGGTCACGCGATAAGTTTAATATCCTTTCGATACACCGTGTATTTTTCCTACTATATCGACTAACATAACCGCCGTAAACGATTTAATTTGTCAACTATTCGTTTAACTCGTATACGATTTTTCTTCGAGTCCTTAATCACACTCGTTTCGCCTACCATTCGCAACATGCAACCAATTTTTCCAACCACTTGCCATCCACTCTGACTGTACGTATCCCCAACTGGAATTCAATTTATCGATAAATATCTGTACTGTCCACTGTTATGCTGCCGCGAGTCGAGCCCGTTCACGAAATTTCAGCGTCACGATAAAATCGGCCACCCTGTTCGTGCCTGGAATAATCAGAGAAAACCATGCTGACGTACGACATTGTCGTCGTAAAGACTTATCGACGTAGAAGGAAAAGAAAAAGCAGCGGCCAGCTCTCTGCCATCGGCGATACGATCAATATGTAATGATCGCTATAAAGTGGCCCGGTTAAGGGCGAGGATATTTTAAATGAAAAGAAGGATGAATTTATCACGGCCCCGTCGAACGATTTATCACGACGATACATTCGAGCTACGGACGTTCCGGAGAACGTACGAGGGCGTCAGCTGCGGGAAACCGCTCCGGGGGAAGTAGATCCCCATCCGATCATTGTTCATACGAACCTAGCGTATAATGCGATGCCAGCCAGAGTCAAATATATATGTATGTCTGTTATACGTAACCTCGTTTCGGTTTTTCCTGCGAACTCCACCGTGCAACTCGTTGACGGATTCTAAATGTTCGTTTCCTTTTTGCCAGCGAAAAAATGCCACGTTTGTGATACAATCGCGTCTACTGCAGACCAACTTAAAGAGAAGATTCGAGTTTTATACGCGCGAGATTTATGGGAGATTTATTCGTATTTATTTAAATTAGTTACATTTTGGTATATCTCTCATCTTTTTCTTTTTTTTTTTTTTTTTTTTTTTTT